CGCATAGTTACCTGCAAGTATGGCCGCCAGTGTAATCATAGCCATAACATTGTTTCCATCTTTGAACCGTCGTCCGCCGCTGCTCGACGTAACTGGGAAGAAACAGGTTTGTTGTAGATTTTTTAGTTTATTTATTATTATTTTTTTATGATATTGTATAATTATTTTTTATATGTTGAATGATTATGAAATATGTATCACTGTCTATGAATGAAGGCACACATGCACATTTAGAAAAAACTTGTTGTCCTACTTGGAATAATTTAATTTGATAGATAAGTTATAAATAGTTCAACAATTAGATATTTTGGAATAACCTGCAGGAGTGATGGCAAATTCTTTGTGATTTTGATTATATATTGTAAAAGATGTATTGTACTTTGTACATGGTGACAAAAGAGAAATTTACCTTAACCAACAGTGAACGATTCTGGCCATGCAATTCGTAGCGCGTGGACCAGGCGAACAAACCTGGTAGATTCTCGGACATCTGTGATGGATGTCAAGTTTGCTCCAAAACAACAAGGTCTCCAGTTAGCCACATGTTCTGCTGATGGTGTGGTGAGTCGAAGCACACTCATTTAATACAAATTGTCCCTTTAGTTGAAGGCTATTGAACTTAGACATCCCGAGTGGGTGAAAGGTGATTACTTGTGTACAATAAAACTAGTTATTCTCAGAAAATGTTTTATTTCTTTTAGTGTTGATTATTTGTTTATCTTTTCTGCATTCATTAGGTCAGGATCTATGAAGCCCCTGATGTTATGAACCTGAATCAGTGGTCCCTTCAGTATGAGATTAACTGTAAAGTCTCTTGTTCTTGCATCTCTTGGAACCCTTCGCCTTCCAGGTTAGTAAATGTATATCAGTGAATGTTGTTTTGAATGTAGTTACAGCATATTGATATCAAGGTATACTTTTATAAATTTGGTTAAATAAAAATCTAGAAGATTAGTATATAATTGTTTTACAGCATTAATAGCTTATTGGAAAACAAAGTAGGATTTAGTAAACAGTGATGGTATTTCCTAATTAATGTAGTGCAAGTTTATTATTTCCTATACAAGTATGAACTACATTATACATGATGGTAGCAAGTATAGTATTATAGAATTGAAGCAAAGAATGCTGTGTATAAGAGAATGACAGAGAATATGTTTAGGAAAATTTATATTTGTGATAAACATTGGAAGTTGTTGATATTGGACTTGTCAGCAGAAAGTCTAATATTGCCTGCCAATTTTTACTAGTTTAGAATAACTCCCATGATTTTAGTGTAAATTAGAATTACTAAGAAGACATGAACTACAGAGAATTACATAAGTGATGTCTAAAAAGAAGGGATCCCATTTATTTTAGCCATAATTACTTGAACCTCATGTTTTTTCTTCTTCTTCTTCTTCTTCTTCTTCTTCTTCTTGACATAGCATGATATATATGCAAAGTTTCTTGTGCTTTAGTGTAAGCTAGTGGTTTCAATTATTGATATTAGTTGACTCCTAGGTATTTTCCATTTAAAATAGTAGTGCATTAGATTTTTATAATCTTAATTTCTTCTAATATTCTTGAGCCTTTGATAGTAAATTTTATTATTACATTTTTGAACCACTTAATGTGCTAATGAGTTCAGATCGTAATCCTACCATTGCAGACTTCATGCTCCCCTCATTGCTGTGGGTAGTGATGATCCTAACCCTTCCTCTGGGGGTAAGGTCTTCATCTACGAGTTCTCCACCAACACACGCAAGTGGACGAGAGTAGAGACGCTGGTGACAGTGACAGAGCCTGTGCATGACATAGCCTTTGCCCCCAACCTTGGGCGGTCATATCATCTGCTAGGGATTGCCACCAAGGATGTCAAAATCATTGCCCTCAAGCCTAACAGGTGAGTGAGTGTTGGAGTGGGTTTAGTTTGTGGGTTTTCAGGTTGGGTTTTGTCTCTGGAGATAAGATAGATGGAATGAGAATTGTGCTGAGAATGAAACTGGAATAATGGATAATTGTACTTCATTTTGAGTTATACTTGTATGGGGTCATGTCTCAGATGACCATAGGATAACTGAACAGATCATAATTCTACTCCCCCCACCTTTTTGTCTTCTTTCTCTCTCATTTTCTTTCTTTTCATGAAAGAGAAGGAGTGGAGCAATGAATTTTGTTTATATGTACAATAGAATAAAAATCTGTCCCCAGACAAGATGCTCTGCAGAACCAGAGCAGTTTGTCCACTTTTGAGGTTCGTCAGGCAGGACAATTTGACGACCACGGCAGCACTGTGTGGCGTGTTTGTTGGAATATGACAGGCACTATTTTAGCCTCCTCTGGGGATGATGGATGTGTTCGTCTTTGGAAAGGTATAATTTTTTCCTTTTTATTTGTTTGTATCTATATTGATTTATTTATTGTTTTCTAACTCAGATTTTTTGACAACCAAAAAAACAGTGCATTAGCAAACTTTGAATTTCTTTTGTTTTTCATTTCAATAATTTTATATAATATATTATACTGAACATAGTTTGATTTATTGTATTTGCAGACTAGTATATATTACTACATATTTTATGTATACAATGTTGTGAATGAATGATAGTAATTTTACTCAAGGATATTCTTAAAGTCAAAAGAAACTGAGGCCTGTACGTCCTAAAATGTTTATTGATGATATGTTAAAGGTTACAAATGGAAGCAGAGGAAGAGCACAAGTCTAAGTCTGTTGGAGGCACTTCGTGATAATCTTGGTTTAGGAGTATTTTTGCATTTCAGTGTCTTGCCTGAAGATAATTCTCCTTAAAAAAATGAGTGAAAGCTTCCTTAAACTAGTCCTCCTTCATAGCCAGTACCTATTAATGTTCTTTTTGGTAAAAGTGGACAAATATAAAAATTATGTTATTTGTTAGGTAAAAAACACAGTATTGTTGTGGTCTAACAAAAGATTGCCACTGGGAATGAAGGAATATGTCCAAGGGAATGTCTTTCTTGAGTTGTCCTTCAAGAACACCTGTGCCTTTGACACTTGGCCTTAATTATTGTGTTTGATATTCTTTGTTGAATATACTGAATAAGTGAAAGAAATTCACATAAAAAATTGGTGGTCTAATCTGAAATGGAACTAGTGGAAGAAATATCAAATTATACGTCCATGTATTAACCCTTGCGGGCCTTAGCCTTTCCCAACTCTTAAATTCTTGGTTTTACCCATTTACCCAGTCATGATAGGTGTTATCTTATCATGTCATGGTAATGGCTAATCATGTCATGAGACTGTATCCTGTTCACCAGGAGCCAGATATTTGCTCAGGTAATTGGTGGTACACACTGATGTATCTCAGCCTTGTCTTGAATGGGTAAAGGCTATATCATTGATTTAAGATTATTAGATGATAGCATAAAATGCATAACATTAATGAGTACAATCTCTGTATCAATTCCTTACTAGCAAACTACCTGGACATATGGAAATGCATCTCAACTCTCCGTGGAGAAGGAGTTGTCAGCGTTCCGGAGGTGGCCTCTGTGGGTAACGCTTCACAGCAGATAGGAGGCACAACCACAGGCCAGAACACAGCGCGCTACTTCAAGCTAACCCCTACTGCACATTCGTCTCATGTTCCTTGGCATTAGAAGAAGAATAAGTTTTTATCCTCTTTTTTTCTGAATCCACACTGCAAAATGCCTGTTTCTAATAATGTTCCTGTAAAAATATTTTTTGTGGATTGCATGCAGTGTGGAATATTGTATAGTATGAGTAATTTCTTTTCTTTTATTCATTCAATTATACCTGAACAAATGATTTTGTTTTTGTTGTTTTATTTTCCTAGTTGTATACTTTAAATGTGTCAGTGTTTTATTTATTAACCATAACAATATCTGCACTTACGTTAACTTTTGCAAATCTATTCATTGAATTACAATTCTGAATAAGTTCTTACATCATGACATTCACTAACTACAGCCAATGCCAAAATCTTGGCTCTAGCATTGCATTCGTAACATTTGCAGGTAACCCTGGTAGACTCTTTAAGATTTTTTTGTTATGACCTAGTAGATACTGTACAAACTCTGCTTCCCATAACTACGGGCATGAGATTGGGAGGCAGATGGAGACTGAGGCTTCAGTGATGGGGACCTCCCTAACCTTGGGCTTCAGTCTTTGGCTCAGCCAATTTTGCTTGGTCTTTTCCTCTTCCTCTGTCTGAGCTATGTTGAAAGGATAAAAGGCTGGCTCTGGGTCATTCCTGAATGGCCTCAGGGAGCCATTGGCATGGTATTCCTTTGTTTAGTTATCTAGCACTTATCCCTCAGTGCCCCTATAGTAATAGCATTGAGGCTTTCCCCTTTATTAACTAGCCCCAATGACATTAACTTTTCTGATTCCCCGATCTCTGGCTCTCCTCTGATCATGACTGAATACTTCTACTACTTCCCCTTCCTCGACATCTGTCAGCTCAGTCCATTCCAAAGCATTCCTCTCTCCCAACATCCCCCAATCCCTTATCATCCTCCACAGCCTTCTTTATTTTCAACCCCTTCCTCCTTTATTACTACTCTGCATCCTTATACACCACTCCCTCTTCCCGTTGTTGTCCTTCAACTGCTTCCACCTCTACAAATCTTTTTAGTAGTTAAGTGTAGTCAATTTTTTATCATTCCTTCTACTACACCTTACTCTGACAATACCTTCCTATTCCAACAATGTCAACAAAAAAAACTAATAGGCAGAGATTGCTTCTGCAGCCATTCTGATTGCCATAGTTACATCTGAGTACCTCACAGGCAAACCTGTTCCTGCCCAACCTCACTCCTCAATATTTATACTAGAATTGTTTTCATCTCCCTGGCTGATTGCCTTGCCTACAGTAATGATTGGTCAGACTGAAAACGACCTGCTTACCTACTTCAACCCATCAATCCCATGCCTGTTGTTGCCGTGGAGGGGTTAGTAGACGGAGACGGAGGCCCAATATAGGCCTCAGTTGAGGGCTGAGGTCCAAGGAGACTAATTTTTCATGGTCTTTTCTTCTCCTCCTTTCCTTTTCTTTCTCTTCCTCATCCCATTCTTCTGTCCACATCATAAAGTGTGAGAGCCTTGTTGAAAGGATGAAAGACTGGCTTTGTCAATCCTAAACGGCCTACATACTGTTTGCTATTCCCTCTTTACCATTCTCACTACCATACTAATCTACAGCCTTTAACTAACATATTTTGCCCTAATTGTTAATTCATGTTTTACCTTTTTGCCACAATACTTTATCATAGTGCTGTATGACCTTTCCGTACCTGGAGTGTTACCCCCAAACCTCGCCCTATTGCTATATTTTGTATACACCCCTAATGACCTTAGATGTTGACGCAGCAGAAAATTTTCAATAAATAAATTACCTACCTCGTACACTATGGTGCAGTATTAGTACAGTGCTTCTCTATTCTCCTCAGAGGCCACCAAAAGTCCAACACCAATATCGCCAAAAATTACATTCCGTAGACATGCCTTCTACCATGAAGTTTACACTGGTGGAGAGTCCTACCCTATCTGACCATATCAACCTCACTCTAGACAGTGTCAGAAATGTTGGCCTTTTGGCCACCCTACTGGTGCTCCATAGCCTGCTGCCCTCTATATGCCCAACTTGGCCATAAGCTTTCAAACTGCCCTGTGCAGTTATGCACATGTACCAATTTTGGTGGCTCCCATAATGTATTTTATAGGGATTGCCCTGCCTACAAGTTTGAGTCTGAGGTAGCAATCCTCAGATTCAAACATGGCCTCACTTTACATGATGCAAGGCAGGGAGCTAACAAGGATTTTCTCTTACTCCCTATGATAGTACTGTCCTTTGCTCTGCCCTTCCCCTTTCTCCCCAAGGTGTCTCTACATATTCCCTGGTATCTTTTCCTCCTACTCCTTATGTTCCCACTTCTTCCTCTTCCTTCTCTCAGTCAAATTTTTTTGCCATTCTAAATCTAGACACTCCAATCAATTCTTCCCCAGTTCTTACTAATCCTCCCCCTCAGTCTCCTCATCGCATCAGGCAATCTAAACTTTTCACCCCATCTGCTGTGTGCTCTCCTACACCAATCTCTTCCTTGACCACTCCAACGTCTGTCCCCTCAACTCCCCCTCATAAGGAAAGCTTTGTTTTTTGTCTCCATTTCAGAAACTCTTGAGGACCTCCAAAACTATCTAATCATGATACAAGATAACATCCATTCTCCAAACACTCAGCTCCCATTCTCTCAACACTCAAACATCCATCCTGTTCCTACTCATGTTCCCCTTACATTCCCTCTCAACATCCCCTACATCACTCCACCTTCCCTGTTATCCCTTCCGCTCCTTCATGGATATACATACGACTCCCCTGATCCACCCCCTACTGACATTTCTCTTGAATCACTCGTTGGTCGAATCGCCCTTTCCCGTCCTGATACCAATAACAGTGTGGAACCTCATGGCCAGATCTTATAATTGGAAAAACAACTTACAATGGAACATGTACGATAGAGCAGCCTTGCGGTCTGAAGCAAAATTCTGGGATGCAATAGAGGGGAACTGAATAAACACCTGTGTACCATGCATAGCATGAAGTTTCACAAGGTATTCCAACTTCTAGAGGCTAGGCAGCAGTCCAAGTAAACACTTGCTCTGTGTCATGAACTCATCGCAGAGGGAATAATGCAGAAGAATGAGCTCTCCTTAGGAGGGGAAAGACAATATATAAAGAGAAAACTGCCGACTAGCCTAGTTCTGGGGAAATGGCTTTCCAGGTATGGCGCTGTCCCACGGGATAAAATTGTATGTGCGACACAGCATTAAAACAATTTTCTGCATGTAGGAGAGTCAAGAAAGTTCTTGACTTTCTAGTCACATATGATATAAGGATGATCCCATTACATCCCCAGATTCTGGAGATTTCCAGCTTGAGGAATGGGAAGTCAAGTCCTAGTTACCTGAAGAGACCCCTAGTTAGCTCCCCATACTTGGGATATTGGGGTTCCTACAGCTTTACTACTTGGCCAACAGTAAAGCCAAGACTAAGTGCGGTGTCTGTGGAAGATCGCACAGCACCGAAATGTGCTCCAAGGCATGCATGGAAGGCAAGAGAGGCAGGACTTCAAAATACCTTAACTGGGCTAATTTTCATCATGCATGGAATCTAGCCTGGGCTCTCAAAGAAGGTTGCTGAAAAATGATGTTCCTGTTCCTCCAGGCTCCCTAGTCTGGGGAGAGAACAAGCGAGAAAGGGCTCCCCTCCTCTGAGGAAGGATGCACCTTCCATACATACGTTTTTTTCCGATCAGATACCTTTAATACAGCCGAGTTCCGGTCATTGCAAGTGTGCTAGAAAGAACCAGACCTTACAGTGTTCAAGGAACACTCCAAGGACGGATCAGCCCTTCTCTTTTACGAGAGGGACGTAGCGCTCCTGCTGATTGTCACTACAGTACAAACAGCTCTGGTGAGTACGAGTGATTAGGCAGAGAAGGCAGTTAGGATCATCATGACAATAATGACCTAGACTGTCGCAACCGAGCAAATATTGGTTAAGCCAAAACACGATGATATACAGGTAGCACCAACAAAGCCTAAGCCCATGTAAGTAAAGCCTTACTTTCACCTGAATAACCCGCAAACTGTTGCTCATTGTTGTCGTGGGAGGCTTAGGAGACGGAGATTGATCCAATGTAGATTACCTCTACATTGGCCCTAATTTTGCATGGTCTTATCTTCTCCCCCTCCCCTTTTCAAATTCTTCTTCCTGTTTTTCTGCCCATTTTCTACGATGTGAGAGCCGTGCTGAAAGGATGAAAGGCTGGCTTTATGTCAGTCATAAACGGCCTGCGGGAGCCACAGGCTCGGTATGCCCTTAGTTAATCGCCTAGCCCTTACTCCTTGCCCCTTCATCAAATAGCTCGTCTCTCCTTGGACCACGGCAATGACCACTGTTACTAATGCACCCTCTTCAATGTCTACTGACAACTTTATCTATTCTGAACTACCCACCCAGATCATTCCTCAACCTTCAGAAAACACCCCTTCCTCTCTCCTAAAATTCTACACTCCATCTCCTTCCACCTCTGCAAACCTTTTGAATACTCTCTTTGGCCCAGCCAATTGGGATTGATTCTTTGTGATCTCCATACAGCCCCAATACCCTCCACTTCCAAGAATGTCTCGATAAACATGTAGGCAAACCTTTTGACAATTACATCTGAATCCCAAGCTCGTGTACTATCTACCCTAACTGATCTCACTTTCATAGCTATTCCTGCCAAACCTCACTCCTCTTAATATTTGTACCAGAACTCTTTCCTTCCTCCGACTGATTGTCCTATCTATGACAGGAAATGGTCATACTGTGAAAATTACCTACTTGCATGCCTTCTTGAGTATGATGCAGTAGCAGTGCAGTGATACATATTCTTTACAATGGATTACACAAGTCATGCAAATTGTCTTCTATATTTGCTCTAATGTTTCCATTGATTTGCTCATTGACAAAAGACGAAGTTGCATTAATCCGTATGGTAAGAATACAATGCATGTTTAATACATTTAATGTACATTTCAATGTGCTAATGCTTTAAACTTGTTTAGATTTCGGCCTAAATGTTCTTAATATTCCTATATATAGATTGTGAGCAAACATGTAGCTGTATGGGAAAAGAGAATAACTATGGGCAAATATGAAATCACATGATAAGAACACCACTGGTAGACTACCTAATCATAACAATAATATATATATATATATATATATATATATATATATATATATATATATATATATATATAT